GTCTTCTAGAGTTACAGTGCTGACATGCAAACTAAGTTCAAAGTAGCTACGTAGCTACAAGCAACTGTGACTTCTTGTGCTTTTCCAAATTTTGTTCCTGAATATTTCATCACATACCGAGGAATTATATATATTTTTTTTTTTTCATTCAACCTTTATTTAGACGGTAAATCCCATTGAGCCTCGAGGACTCATTTACAAGAGAGACCTGATTTCACCAAAGTATGACGACAACAATGGACAGTTATAAAAAGGCATACAGATTTATTTTTTTTTTTAACAAATGGAATGGCTAAAAAAAAAAAAAGTAACAAGAAACAGCTAGATTCTAAGGTGAATGTATAAAACTAAAAACAGGAACATGTCTGCATTGGTCCCTGCCAGGAGTCCAACAGATTCTTAAAGACACTTGGAGAGGTCAAAGGTCGAGACCTTCAGATCTTTTTACAAGATATTCCAGGAAACGAGCAGAGTAGGAGAAAGTCCTCTATTTGATGTTGTGGATTTATCACAGAAGTTTATGGTCGTACGACGTCGAACAAAGGCTGCAAGTAATCCCACGATTTGTAGCTGTTTTTATCATGCGAGGTGTTCGCAAACGGTGCTCGCTGTAAATCTGGATGGTCAAAGGAAAAGTTTACAAGACAGTGGTGAGACCAGCTATGTTGTCTGGTCTGGAGACAGAGACATGGACAAAAAGACAGGAGACAGAACTGGAAATGTCAGAAATGAAGATGTTGTGGTTCTCCTTAAGCCCCCAGTATACTGCCGCGTACATCCATACGCAGAGGTACGCACGTACGTACGCAGAGGTATGTGCGTACCCCCCAGCGTACCCTTCATGCAAAGCTCAATTTTTACGACCGCATACGCGTACGCAGTGTCGCACAATAAACTGCCCGGCGACGGACTGTTTTGTATTTGACACCAATGTATTAAATTCCCCTTCTTCATCCCTGATCTGGCCTTTTCTTTTGTTTTGTTGCCAAGAGGCAGAGATCTCTTCCTCCTCCGTTGATGCCATGACTGAAATAGTGAGAAATGAAGGAATTTGTCACGAGCGAATTAAACTCCGGTCCAGCGTGGCTGCAGGAGGTCTGGAGATTTCTTGGGGGGCTGGTCTGATGTGTGGGCTGCAGGGCCAGCGCTCCGTTTTTTAATTGTTTTTAGTTCTTTTTATTAACAACATATAAACACAGAACACCGCTGCGTAAGGCTGCCAGCGCTCGCTTTTTTTTTTCCCGACCTGTCAATCAATCCAGTAGGCGTGTCAGCAAATGACCAATCGGCGACCTCAATTTGTCCCGAAGGTAAACGCCCCTTGTCATGAAGCTGCTCTGCAGCTGCTCGGGGTGGACTCTCGAGTATCATGTCTGAACCCTCTGCGTACGCGTGAACGGACATACGCGGCAGTATTCTGGAGGCTTTAGGAGTGACGAGGATGGAGAAGATCAGGAATGAGATCATCAGAGGTACAGCACAGGTTGGATGCAGTTAGAGAGGACATGGAGTGAGGACAGAGGACAGAGTGAGATGGAGGAGGATGACTCGTTGTGGTGACCCCTGAAGAGGGAAAAGCTGAAAGAAGTTGTTTAATAGGTTGTGTGATGTAAACTTTTCTCTTTGAGAGTTCTTGTCCTGTGCTGATGTGCAGCATGAAAACATCCACTGCAGGAACTATTTGAAGTTATTAGTGTCTTAGATTTTTTTCTGTCTTCTTTGCCTTAATGTTGGTCGATGATAAATAAATAAATGCATCAGGTAACGCTGTGAGCTTCACCACCTCCACATTACAGATATCTTGTTTAGTTTGGCTGAGGTCAGCGCAGCCTGGGTTACATTTCCTCGTGGGAGGAGCCATCTCACCGTTCATGTAAAATATTTGATCATGTTCTTATAGGAACAATTCCTGAGTGTTGTTCATTCTGTGTTGATGCTACATGTTTGTCTCTTGGCCCTACAACTGGGTAACGTTACAGTAGACCCAGATCACTACTGGAGTTTTAATTAGGTATTTTAAGCTATAATAAACATGATGGATGATGATCCATTGGTCAGAAGTGATTATTATTATTGTTTCATATTGGATAGTGATTTTTTCCCCCAAAAACTTTAATTTAAGCTACAGTGTGCGTCTTAGACTGTGATTAGGATGTGTGAGAGAAGCGGAACGTGCTGTGTTCACACAAGGAGAGCTGTTGGTCAGGCTACTTCTTGTTGTACCATTAACTCTAAAATAGTTATTGAATCAAGTGTTACTTGTGTAGGTAAAACTAGATGTTAAAAAACCTGTTAAAATTCACCAGAATGCAGAAAATTACATCTACTTTATTCAAAAAATTTTGGGGGGGGGGCCCCCCCCCCCCCCCAATTAAAAACATGCTTCTGACATTAATATCCAATGTGTTGCTAACCCTCTTCCAGAGCAGGACCTTCACCCAGACCAAAGCAGGACTCGCGTTAAACACACGTCATGAACAACTAGATGATTGTCGTTTTCACGTGAAACGGAAGTAAACTACTGGAAACTGCTGCTATAATTAGTTTCTTCTAATAATCCATGTAACTTGCTATGATCCCAGGTTTGAGCAGGTGTGATACTGGTGTGTGAGCACAGCGTGCACGTGATGCTGCGCACACTGCTCCTCAGTGTCCAGACATGAAAAATTAGAGGGAACGTTGTTCTGCAGTAACTGCTCAGGAGTTGTACAAATACATGAAAAACTACATTTAAGTAAACAACACATTTAATTCCTCTTTAAAATATTTTGTTGCTTAAAATGCAATAACCTGTTGAACATTTCAGTTTCAAGTCTGTTCTACATCTTGAACTTTATTAATGATATTGTTTATCTTATTTCTTATATATTGTAATGTTTATTAACATTTAGGAACTTTTGTGTGAAATCTTTTTATCTGTTGCTGCTGTTACACTTGAATTTCCAATCCGTGGGACAATAAAGGCTGTTTCTATTCTGTTATAGCAAAACTGTTGCTTTTTTCTAAAATGCAAAACCAGAAGACCAATAAATAAATTTGGAGTGAAGGTGGAGAAGATGTTGTGGATCCTTCCTGTT